TTTATTTAACATATCATTTAAAATCACATAGACTGTATTTTCATCCCCATTAGAGATGAATAACATTACTCTTTTTTCATAAAGCTATAATTTTCATCTTGATTTGAGACGAAGAAAACACGAGACATATTTTCCCTTCTGTCAGGGAATTGAACAAGCGGCCGCGGCCTTGAATGCACTTCAAGGAATATCACTGCCATCACCGGACTGGGGTGGTATGCATATAGAGTAAACAGTTCAATGATAAAATGTCACGTGACATTATGTCAACCATTAGCATGATTCTTCCCTATGAGTTATGCTACTTTGACAGAGAAATGTTGACTGATGTTTTGACATAATAAGTGTTGACAAGATATGATTGGATGTAAAAGTTGATTATATTTTAAACAGTGCAATGATAAAATGTCACGTGACATTATGTCAACCATTATGTTATCGTAGCATGATTCATTTCCTATTGCTCAATATTCTTCACCGAATATTTTTACTATTCTTTAATCTTTAATCGAATTTCCTAAAAAATCATCTTTGCTCCAAATTGAAAAATAATATCACGATACTCGATAGTTAATACCATTTTGAGCAAAATTCTTTTTTAGCATTAATTGTTAGATGGAATGAATTTGTACTTATCAAATACTAAGTTAAATATAGAACGCCATGTAGTAATTGTGCCTTTATTTCCTATTAATCGCGGAACACCACGAGTTTAACATATAAGAATCTTTCATTTCTCGTATTATACTCTTGCATTATACTAAATTACTAATGATACATATAAGCACAAATGAATAAACCTCCTTCATTTACGATAAAAAGGGGCATTATAAATTATTAGTTTTGATGTTAAATTTTGTATACACTCCTCAATTTGGGGCACGTTTGGCACGACTTCTACTTTTTGTAAAAGAACTTCTTGCGAAAACTACCTTAATTGGTGTTTAGATACTAAATTGGAAAAAAAAAAATCTTTTATATGAAGTCACATTGTACCAGATTTTCAATGAATTCTCGCCAAGTGTTATTCGTGAAACTTTCGTGTGAAAAAAAATTAGCATGATAATGAGGAAGGCCTAATTCAGAAGAATCACGCTTCATGTACGAAGCAATTTCCATAGAATACTCACATGAGTCATGAGTGGGTCCGCGCATAATTTTTTTTTAAGTACACGTGGGGCCTACTCACGTGACAAAGTAGCTGGAAGACGTAGAAATAAAGGTATCATTTCCAAAATTTTACCTAGACAAGATATGAAATTCTGGTGAGCTCCCGTGAAAATAATTTCGGTACATGGAGAATAATTGAATTCAGAAGCTCCTTGAGAGGACATTTTGGACGCTCAACATCATATAGACACTGGGATTTTTGCTGCCCAGAGACTATTTTGTCAGTCACTATTCTATAGTATTCAATGCTTTAAACCATTTGTTTCTTATGCTAATAAGCCAAACTTTTGTATCTTAAATTGAGCTATGCCATTAAATTTCTCTTGTAATTTCTACTTTAATACAAAAGTAAAATAAATTTGATATCGGTTATCTTGAATGTTTATAGGTGTAAATTTATAGTTTCCACACTGAGTGTATACTTCAAGAGCCATAAACGTGTAGTATATAGTGCACAAAGAGCAAGGGCTTTTGCTCTACACAATGACAATTGGATTGCCTGAAACACTAGTCGGCTACGAAGATTGCAATGATAAGTGTTAAAATTCCAAGTCGACGCAAGATGATCTAGTTTCTTGAAGATTTTAAATGCAAAATTATATTCCTCGTCGAGCTACGAAGATTGCAATGATAAGTGTTCTATCTACCGACACAAGAAATTAAACAATTGATTAGACTAGTCATAAATGCAAGAGCACAAATTGATTAGACACCACAATCGTTATTTCGTACGAAATCAATGTTTCATTATTTTTTGTGGAGATTCTTCATTCGTGGTGGAAATAAGAAGCAACTCTTAAGAAGAAAAATAAGAAGCAACTTTTTCTTAAGAATTGCTTCTTATTTTTTGTGGAGATTCTTCATTCTCCACTTCAATTCTTCAAAATAAGAAGTGAAGAAAAATTGCACGTTCAGCCAAAAATTTCAATTTTCTTTGTTTAACTCTAGCACTCGACTTGGACACTTTTTTAAATAAATAAAATAATTTAAGCTGACTAGATTTTGAACTAGTTGTTATCTGAATTGACCGATTCGATCCAACTCTTATAACATTGCTTATGTGACTTGAACTTTATTTTTCTACAATTAAATTTTTGGAGCTAAACAAATAATAACAAAAATTGGGTTTTGCAAAAGTGCATAGAATGCAGTTGTATATTGAAATTCTTTATGTTTCTAGGTAAATATGAGGAAAGAGTAAGATAAGTTTTCTTGTAAAATCGAATCTCTTAAGTTAAAATCATAATTTCACTTTAATCAGATATTTTATGGTCCCACAACTTTTCAACCACATATTTCATCAATTTCTTTCAAAATTTACTGAAAATCTAATTTTAATCTCCACCAAACAAATGTCGATATGTAAAGCAACGGCAATGCACAGTAACCACTATTTTTGGATTTTGTGTAAAAATTACCAACCAGAAGTTGACATTGTTATTCGTGAAGTTGACATTTTTATTCGTGAAGTTGGATCCAATGAACCAACCCCATGAATTTGAATTTTTTTTTTTTTTTATATCCAGGTATCTTAACTTACACACTAGACTATGTCCTGGACCACCCATTTCCGACCTCTCAGTGATGGGTGGAGGTTAATCGCACGATATGCCCAAATTGACCAGGGTCTGTGCACCCTTAATACTTTTGGCCACA